CAACACTCTCAAGGGTCTGTACCAATACAACAGGCTAGCGTTTGGTATTGCTTCACCTCTTGCTACATGGCAATGGACCAAGTTTTGCAAGGTATTCCGAGAACACAATGTTATTTGCATGCCATTATTGTGACCTGTGAAAGTGAAGAGCCAATATGGGTTACAAGCCAGTCACATCAAATGTGAATTTTTCAGGGACTCGATACCTTATTGTGGGCATGTTATTGATGCACATGGCCTACATAAGTCTTGGCAGAAGATTAAAGCTGTCCTGGAAGCTCCACTGCCAGAGGATGTGTCACAACTTTGATTATTTCCAGGATTCATTAACTACTATAGCCAATTTGTAGCAAACCTAACAATTGTGTGTATCTGCTGACCTGTTGGTTGTAGACTGGTGAAAAGCGGGTATGGTTACATGAGTGTCAAAAAGCTTTCCTGGAAGCAAACAATTGGTCACATCAGACAGTGTGCTTACACAATGGCAGACTGTAACTATGCCGAAGTCGACAAGGAGCCTTTAAGTCTGGTATGGGGTGTGAAGAAATTCAACCAATACCAATATAGGAGGAAATTCACCCTTGTTACAGCCCACCAACCCTGAGTACCAATATTTCATCCAAGGAAAGGAGTTCTGTGACAACTGAAGCATGTATGCAATGATGGACTGTCTTAGCTGGGTTCATCTATGACATTGAATTCAAAAGAACAGACGTGCATGCAAATCCAGATGGGCACTCCCGCATGCCTTTGCTGGTTGAAGAGCAACCTGTGGACTGTAATAGAGACAGAATCTATTGGCTTTGTCAACTTGTTTCAGACTGAGTGCTCCCCAATCACTTGTAGTTTGATCAAGCAGAAACCAAGAGGACTCCCACACTAGCTCAGGTTTATGAAGAGACATTAAAGGGCTGGAAATATACTGATAACCCTAATCTGGCATCCTTTTATGCACACAAAGGTGAGTTTACCATACATCAGGGGTGTGTTGTGGGGAATTTCTGTTATACCTAGCAAACTGTGTATAAGAGTCTTAGAAGAGCTCCACATAGGTCACCTAGGGGTAGTATAAATGAAGGCATTTGCCAGAAGTTTTGTATGGTGGCCAGGCATTGTCCAACAAATAGAGCAGATTGCTAAGGAATGGTCAGGATTCCAACAGGTACAGCACATGCCTAAACCAGCACCATTACACTCCTGGGAATGGCCATCAGCTCCCTGGCATGGTCTGCGTATTGATTTTGCAGGATCATTTTGGAGAATGATGTATCTAGTAGTGGTGGATGCCCACTCCAATTGGCTGGAAGATTTTTGCATGTAAACTACAACAGCTGCACAGACAATAGAAAAATTTGGAAGTTTGTTTACAAGAGCTGGACTGCCAGAACAAGTTGTGAGTGACAATGGTCCTCAGTTTAGTT